CCAGGACAGCGACATTAGCATGCTCTTCGATTTGCAACTGTCGGAGGATCTTCGTACATAGCCTGTAGCACACGGGGCCCCGGTTTATTGTCCCATCAGAAAGACTAAACATTCTTTTCATGTCAGCCCTCTTACCTGCATCACTGATGGGTGGAAACCGGATTGAAAAAAATCAAAAGTTATTATCCCGAACTATGCCGAGATTGGACCCTATAAGCGCCTAACTCACTGAACCACCACGATGGGAAAGGACTTGCTTTTAATCAAACTTCTATACAAACATCAAACGAATAATTTCACTTAAATTAAAATATATTTATATATTACTGGTCATAAAATTTTTTAAATTGCTAACTGTGATTTCAAGAAATATTCAGATCACTACTTGATATATAAACACTGTTAAGAGGCTGTTAAACTTATTTTCATGTGACATTAAGTATTTCTAAATGTAGTAAAATTGGATTTATAAATAAAACAACCGCTTCAAAACAAAATCAAAATATGATCTTTACATAAGTAGCTCCATATACAATTTAATGACGATCTGAGAGGATTAATTAAATACTTGATGTCAATTTCTCTAAAGTACACTTTAAGGTGCAGCGAGATTATTCCTCCATTCTGGTGTATGCTTGCATTATTTATCAAGGATGTGGCACGTTTTTCCTCTTCTCGTTTTCTTTCTGTCTAGATTTTAATACCGATCGTCCTTTCATATTTTCTCTCTATTACCCCTTTCAAGATTCTTGATCGATTTCATTATCCTCCGCCCCTTTAAATCTTTACTAATTTTGGATTTTCTCCTAGATTGTCCTTGCAATCTTTATCGTGATGGAAAATATAACCTGTTTGAATAGAAAGCTTTAAGTTTAATTGTCAGATAATTTTAAGCTTGACTACAAAGCGCCTCATTACCCACAAAAACATCACCCTCCAGGTTGAATACCTTTGTTCTAGAATTTGCAATTTAATGTTATAATCACGCAGATCTATTTTGAAATTTTTTTGATATTTATCCATTGATTCTCAAGTAGGGTTATGATGAAATTATCATGTGATATCTATGTTATTTTGATTTCTATCTTTATAGGGGCAGTGTTAACTTTTTAGGTCTGGAAAGTAAGGCGATCGAATTAACGTTCAAAATCTACAATTGCCCAATCTGAAAGATTCAACTTACAGTATCTTCCCATTAATATTTATAACGGCAACAACTATTTAAAGTGTTAAAAGTAAACGTAATTCTTGTATTGTGAACTTCTTTATGATTTGGAAACGTTCTAACTTTAAACTTTTTCACCCAACATGCAGTTTTAACTTCACTTTACGACTATGATAATGAGATCGAAAGTTATTAATGAGGAATAGAAGCAAATAAATTAGGTGATTAACACTAGCAGGTTA